AGAGTGGGATTTGAACCCACGCCCTTTCGGACCAGAACCTTAATCTGGCGCCTTAGACCAACTCGGCCATCTCAACAATTGATATTGCTTCAGTCACACATCTCGTATTTGATACTTTGAAAATAGTAGCATACCAAAGTTGTTGAAAAACTACTACTTACACAATCAAAAACACCGCTTTATTTTGCATCCTTTGGTAAAGTCGTGAAGGTGCCTTGCATTGAAGATGCGGATTCATGGGCCCTTATGGTTTGGGCCTTTGCGGGGTTTGGACAAAGTTGAAAAAGTAAAGCAGCGAAAAGCAAAAGCAAAGTTAAACTAGAAATAAAGACCACAATAAACTAAAATGACTACATGGTCATGAGGAATACAACACATGCTCCTCAGGCCTCAACAAAATTTTCAGTGAGACCGTAGTTCATTTATAATAAGATACGTAGGGAGATTTTAGAATTTAATTTTAGAAAGGGACAAGATCCGTTTACAAACTTTTTTTGCAATTACACTAATGTAGGACCGGTCGTACACTGTGTAATTAATGTAGGACCAGTCCTACATAATATAATTTATAAACAAAAAAGTTTGTAAATATAACCTGCCATTTTTAGAAATTTATACAAAATCTATTTACATATCTAAAATAAATGAACTTGCATCAGTAGTACCGACATTTTTTTTCCTACCTAGAGATAATACCAGTTTACCCGAGACTCATTACTGACAGTATGGCCCACCTAATTATTCTCCCACACCCGTTTCTTCTTTGGATTTTCACAAAGGGATCTAAAAATAGTACACTAATTCAATCAACACAAAACACATAATTATTGAAATAAAATATATATGATGTTGGATCAACTTTTCTTTTTGGTGATCAATGTTTGATTAACTTAATCTTATTATCTCATGCATATGTAAGATTTAAAATGTTGAGAATATTATTTTGTAAATATTTTCTAATAAAGGATATGAAATTAAAACTTTGACCTAGATACAAACAAAGGTTTTGCGTAGGGGTGTCAAAACGGGTCGACACGACACGAATACATCAACACTAACATGACACGACACGAATTTTTGATGGGTTGACACGACACGAATAACACGCAAAACAGGGGTCAAAATGATAATTGACAAAAAAAAATTTAAAAAATGGATCGATATTAAAAAAAATAAAAAATTAATAATAAAAAATAAAAAATAAAATAATTTAAAAAAATACGGGTCGACACGAACACGAATACATCAGCACGAACACAACACGAATTTTTTACGTGTCATTTTTTCCAACACGAATACGACACGAATTTTTTTGCGGGTCAACCCGAACACGAATTTTCGTGTCGTGTCGCGGGTCGACCCGCGTGTCAAAACCTATATTGACACCCTTAGTTTTGCCCGATAGATGAAATTAATGTACTATTAATTTTTTATTTTATAAACTACAGGTATTCTTCACGGGAAGCAATCATGTTCGGGATTAGTCCATGATTAAGACTTTAAATTTCTCCCAAAGATAATATTATGGAATTAAACTGTATCGTGGCGTGTGAAACAAAACTTTGGTCCTTTTTTCTTTGGAAATTGTGGTGAAAAACAGGTGATTCATATCAGGATTAAGGAATATTTCTTACAGTTGGGCATTAAGTAATTGGTATAATTTTAATTCATACAGTTAATTATGCATGTACTTGCCTGTTACAAAATTGTTAATCACAAAATCAACCTGCCAGAGTTAAATTAAGGAATTTATTATGTATACATAAGATTTATATTTGGATACAGCATATATAAGATTTTTCATTTATATAGAAAAGAATAAGATATGAGAGTTTGCTTTTAATGTATATTCGTTGTCTGAAAAAATATGGTTGATGATGGCAATGGAAATAGCAATAGAAGGCAATGTGTGTGTGTGTGAATATCATATTATGAACTTACGACAACATATTTTGTTAGCCTTCAATGCCCATGCCAGCCAAACCCATCTCTATTTTCTTTTTTTCTTTTTTTGTAAGAAGAGATTAAATTAACTCATTTTATATATATCCTTTTACTTTTATTGAAGTGCTAACAGAACAGAACAGATGTTATTCCCCACCTTGGAGAATCATATTTCATTATTCAAAATGATAAAAATACAAGATTTTTTCTTCAATAATGAAATAAAAAGAATTGTTTTAGAGGAATCTACCCTGAATTAAGCTATTGGCAAGAGGACAAAGTTTGGTGTGTCTTCTTGCACGCATGAGGCAAGACGTGCCATGTGAAATCGAGGAAAACTGCAGACTGGAGAGTCAACGTGACTTGTCCAGTATGGCACTATATGCCATTACCAATAGCAAATATCAAATCAACAGCAACTATAACCTTTGAGGTACGTTATTCCCATTTCCCAATGGAATACTGCATTGATTTTTCATTTTTTACGTTTTTTATGGGGGAGAACGACGGTATTGTCATATTTTAAGCAAAAATTTACTAGATTGTCGTGTTAGGAAAAAAATTTGTCAAAATATCACTCACAGTCACGCTAATCTGACAAGCGAAAATGGACTTGACACGTGACAATATCTGAATGATCAACTATTATAGCTGAGTAACCCAGCGAAAATGACAGAATGATGACACGTGACAAAAGTATAAGCATTCTATGCAAAAATGATTGACCATTCAGACATTGTCACGTGTCTAGTCTATTCTCACTTGTTAGATTAGCAGGATGTAATTACTGACATTTTGTAAAAAAAATCTTCCTTGACATCGCAATCCAATAAATTTTTATTAAAAGGATGTAATTTTGATCAATGTCCCTTGTTATGGTCCCCCTTAGATGTTTGACTGTGGTCCATCCAACCTTATTTTACATGGATGAGGGCATTGTTCACCTACCCTTATTTTACAAGACATCCATAGAAAGAAGAAAGAACCATCATATCATGGTGGCTATCATGCATGATCAGCTTTAGAATAATCCAACTCATTTCCCAAAGGAATTACTCTACGTAATAAAAAAATATGCCTGTGCCGAATCCCAATCCGACAATGGTTATTCTTTTAAGTTCTTTATGTTTAGAGCAAGAGAACCAAGATTCAAATCTTCCAAAAAAGAAGCATAAACTTGGCTTCAATCTAGTTACCAATTAATAACATGGAAACGACAAATCACAAATGAGACCCCCTAACTCGAAATTCCAAAGTGGAGTAACAATCAGCTTCACCATTTTCTATAACACCTAGCACTTGGTGAGAAATGGAATCTACCATATTTTAGAGGCCCGCACATTGTTATTGATGAAGCACTATTAGGATAAAAAAATTTAATTCAGCATTAGATGACAGAGATATTGAAGGTTCATAAGCTAGCCAAGTATCACAATTGAACTTGCACATCACATGGTAAATTATAATTAAATTAAAATAATCAAATGGATTAGCTCATAAGTTCACAATTGGAAACATGCATATCAGAGTCGTGGATGAAGCAAAGACGAAGGAATTTGAGCATTCGATATAATACTCTCAATAAAGATAAGAAGAAAGGGATTCAGTGTATAGTCTGACGATGGCACAATAAATGGGTGGCTTTGCCACTGATATTGTTTTACTTAAAGTGGGAAATGCACCAACATTAGATTAATTCTTTTATTGTTTGAGAAATTTTGACTTTAGGATAATTTTTTTTCATGCCTTAATTCACCGGCGAGTGGTGGACCCAAAATTTTTTTATAATAAGAGCCGAAAATAAAATTTTATGTAAGTATTATTAAAATTCATAGGAGATGTTAACTATTATAAATATTTTTTTGGGATGGGCTAACCATTAGTACTAATGGCCTATTATTATTAAAAAAAATATTATTTTATAGACAAAATAAAAATTTAAGGAGAGGCGACCACCGATGCTCGCTTTTCTCTCTGAGTTCCTGTGACCACCCAATGTTAGAAAAGTCTAAAATAAAATAATTAATATATTTTAATTTAGAGAAAAATGTTTGTCATTTTAAATAACATAAAGTTATGTCATTTTAAAAGAGAGATTGACACAAAATAATTTTTTTATTTAAAATTTAAATTGAAAAAAACCACTCACTTTCTCTCTCCCATGATTTTCATTTTTTGTGTCTATCTCTCTCTTAAAATGACATAACTTATGTCATTTAAAATGACAAACACCAAACTCATTTAATTTACTAACTTGAATTTGAGTTATTAGGTTCAGTTAGTTGTATATATTGTGATTAAGTGGTTATAGATTTAATTTGTTGGGACTGAACACAAACACATGTGACCACGGTAGTAAAGAAAGAAGGGAAGAAAATAGAGACACATAATTTATCCTGATTCACTCAATATGAGTTATATTCAACAACTTCCCTGCACTCGTTATAACACTCTGATTACGGGACAATATAAATATAGTTAGTAACTCTAAGTAACAATGTTATTCAAGCGCTCAAACCAAACTACTAGAAAAAAGAAAAAATATAATAAATCGAAGACTCACAATAATATTAGACCTATTACTAATAGTGGGATTCTATTGACTTTTTATGTATCTCGCCAATAAAAATTGTCATCTACACAATCCTTGTTACCTTATTATTTTAATAAATATTTTATAAATTTTTTTAACAATATGATGTAGATATTATTTTCTAAGATTAAGTTTTTGAATTGAATTAAACACAAAAATATGGAAGAAAAATTTCTATGGTCCAGCCCATAAAATTTATAAATGCCTCTCGAGGATACAAAAGGAAAATGAAAGAAAAACAGAGATAAGATGGTCAAAAAAAAATTTGATTGTGAGTGGAACTAAGGAAAAATTACATGGGCATGTAAATTTTTTCCAAAATATGGAAGTGTTATAAACGTGTGGCAGCAGTAAAACATGGGGTTGGATAACAGCTGTCAGCATGTCCGAAAGGTTGACTTGATAACACCGTCAACCACTACCAATATGATTCTTTGAAACGTGTTTCAACTTTCAAAGACTCTGCTTAGACCACTATATGGTAGACAATGACCAAAGCACTTCTGCACACATCAAATAAAAATAATGGTCTGGTCTGGTCTCGTCATATGAGCATGGAGAGTAGTATAATAAGATAATGGTGAGTGGGCCCAAGTTTTGAAGTGTTGTACTTGTAATGGAACAGCTTTCTTTTTAAGGAACCTTCATGTGAGTAACAGTGACTACTTTCCTTGCATGTATTTATATCTACTTTCGGCAGCTTGTTGGAACCAACACCCAACTATCCCCTCTATCCTCCATAGTCTCCATTTTCCAAAACCCCTTTTCTCTCTCTCATTGAAGTGAAGAATATGAAGTTAAGTTTTCAATCTGGAGCTCTACTTTTTTTCCTTTTCTTCCTAGTTTCCTCCTCAAAACTATTTGCCCGGCCACTGATCAATGAGCAAGGTAAGCAATAGTTAGCTCTTAATTTTAATTATCTCTCTCTGGAATGTATTTTATAAAGTAGAAATTGGTTTCTTCAGGGCAAAACAGAAAACTGGGTGAAGTCTCAGGGGAGGACTTTGTTTTGGAGTTGGAAGGAAGCAAATCTTTGAAGGTAGGTGCCATTTGTTGATTGCTTATTTTCTCCACTTTCTGAGTAAATTAAATCACTAGTAAATACTTTTTTTTTTTGTTACTCGACAAATTTTACGATGTCCGTTTTAGTCTCTAGCAAATAGAAAGACTATTGGTAGTTTCTAAGAAATTCAAAATTGATCCATTTAATTGAAATTGTGGTTCCTCACAAATTCAAAAAATACCCACATTAGTCCCTCAAAAGGACTAAAATGGGTCCACTTTGAATTTCTTAGGGACCACAAATAGCTTTTTTATTTGCTAGGGACTAAAGCAGTCGTAAAGGATCGAAAATGGTATTTACTCTTAAATCATATATACCTCACAATTTTGTTTGTTCTGAAATCTAGCAGCTGATGGGGGTGGAAGACTGCAATAGTGGAGATGAAGAATGTTTCAAGAGAAGAATGACTTTAGAAGCTCACCTAGACTACATCTACACCCAGCACCATAAGCCTTGAAATCAGAAATCTTCTTATTTTATACTTCGAATATTATTATCTTCTTAATTTAGCTTAGATAATGTTAAACTAGGATATCTCCTATTGTTTTTAGCTTCACTACAACATTTGGGGCTTTGCAAAAAGCTACTTAAAAGGTGGTATGGTATATGATGGTATCATCTGTTTTGATACAACTCAACTGCTGAACATATGTAAAAGAAACTTACGACTTTTATTATGTTATCTAGCATGTAATGATTAGTTTGTCAACTCCAACAATTATATTTATGCATTTTACAATTCTTAACTCTTAGGAGTTAAGAAATCTGTGCTTAATTTCAAGGAGCGGATTCATTTTAGATAAGAACACACAAGTGGATTGACAGGGGGATAATGATATGATCCATTAAGCAATTCAATGAACAAGCTCAATAATTTTTTAACAGAAAGGGATAATAGGCATATATAATCATAAAACCATAGTCCATGAGTACATCCTACCAAATTCTGGGAAGTTTTTTCTAGCAGGCATGTATTGAACTATGAAGTACCGACTCCGACACGGCGATTTCGATATGTTTCAAATACGTTTTCGATAAGACCATTAATTTGTCGATACGATACAATACATTTTCGATACGTTTCCGATACGGAAAAAAAATTCGGATAATATCGGTGCTTCATAGTATTGAAGAACTCAATTCCAATATATATATTCATAACATGCTACAGGTTGACTCAGTGAATTCAAGCAACAACATTAGCTAACCTTTGACTGCGTTACAGAGTATAGAAATTAAGAAAGATGCACAAGGATCTATTCTACAGAACCGCTCCATTAAGGGAAAAAAGACTACACATCGTAAACTGTTCTGGGCATTGTCATTTTCCAACCTTGCTGGGCCATGTAAAAGCTCAACTAAACATTAAATCCATATTTTAATTTTTGGTTGACTATGTATCTAGATTTGTAATATTAGACATCAGAAAAATTTAAGTTCATCGTGTTCTGGCTCAATTTAATATTACTTTTATCTAACATGTCAAGTGATAATGTCTGCACTCGGAAAGCAGTGATGCTGATAGTAACAGGTTCCATAAGGTAGAAATCAGTTGTTTTGATGGTTCGGGTACCCCAACCTCCATCTCCATCCTATTGAGATTTTTTTTCTCTTGTGCTACATGTGAGTACAAAATTTTACCCTTTCACAACTATAGTGTTTTTTAGGTTGTTTCTCTATTGTAAATAATTATTTTAACCCAAAAATTTAATATTTTGAGTTAAATTAGTTCTTTATACAGTATCAAAGCTTAAGTGACTAAAGATCACTAATTCGATCATCACCGCCTCCACTTATGAAACCAAATAAGCATAAGGTAAAATAAAAAAATTGAGTCTATGCAATATTCATATTTCAAGCCCAAATATAAATCGTTAAAAAAGTCTTCACCCAACACTTAATGACGCCGAAAACACATAGAAAAGTGGCTAAACATAAAGTTGGAATTTTCTCAAAAGACTATCCCTCATGTTCTCAATTTCATTTAACAAAATAACAATATTCAACTCCTAAAATAAGGGTCATAAACACCCTTTTACAGACTAATTACAAATTGATTCGAAATTCAAAAATAAAAAATCCTAAAAATAATAAAACTTCTTAAAATAAATATAACAGTAATTAACTTTTAAAAATAAATAAATAATTACAAATAAATAAATCAAAATACATCTCAAATCTTCAATTTCAAATCACGCCAAATGTGTTGTTTTCATTTTCTTCCCAAACAAGGGACTTGGATTCAATTGTAATTTGTTATATTTCCTTTCCTTTTTCAACAATTGGATCATTCTTATTGGGCCACAACTCTAGTCGACTTCGAGCTTCTTGAACCAATGGTTAAGTCATTTACAATGGGCCAACTGTAAGTGCATCACTTAAGGTCTTGGGTTGAAATGATTCTTTACATATACCGAAAAAAAAACAATAAAAAAAGGAGCATTTAATTATATATTTTAAGAGTTTGATGTTTGTTGTTTTTTTTTGGGTATCCTGGTTGGGGTTAAAAAACCCCAACACAGGCTAAAAAGAAGAAATACAACGAGTTCTACTAAAACCACTTAAATCAGCTAAATACAAAAGCCTAATACCCGGGGGAGGGGCCCCAAAAGAACAAAAATCAGCTTGATCCGGATTAATCAACGGAAGATTTGAAAGCCAATCTGCGCAGCAATTTCCTTCCCTATATGAGTGTTGAACTTTAACATCCCAGTCTTTATCCAACCATGCCTGTATGCGAGCTACAAGATGAGACTCACAGGCTAGCCCACCCCTTGAGTTGAGCCATGTGACAGCTGTTTTAGATTATCAAGAAATCAAAACGTAGAAAGGAGTTTGAGTAATCAAGATGTAGAAATGTGTTCTTAGCTATATAATATATTATTATTAAATTATATAAAAAAAGTATAGGAGAATAAATCATCTATATTACAAAAAGCAGGGAAGTGTAATCTTCCGTATATAAAAGCAAGGAAGTATAAATCTTCCGTATATAAACTCAGAGAAGTATAAATCTTTCGTATTACAAAAAGCAAGGAAGTATAAATCTTCCATATTATAAAGCAATGGGATATTGGGGACTATAAAGGCTTCCGAAATAGTCAGTGAGATACAGGCCATGAGATATAATAGTTGGATATACAAATAAAATTACATGTTGTATTATATGCTTTATATCTGACCTTTCATGCAGAGATTGAACTCTTGGGTGGAGACTACTCCATAAATTATAGTCTTATTGGGATTCATTTCTCACCCCATCGTGGGGCTGTAATTTAAATTACAGGTACATCGGCAGCAGGACGACTCAAAAGGCAATGGACCATTTCAGTGAGGATAGAGGACTCTAGAGGAGTGGACACTTGGCTATTTTGAATGTCTGTGTAGACATGTTTTGTTAGTCAATGAAGTATACCATCATGCATGTATATAGTTGATTATCTTTTTGAGAGGCATATGTTTGCCTAAGTGTGTATTATCAAGTCATGTAGTTTGATGTTGTATTGGAACAGAGCCATTTGCAGTATATATATTGCATAGACTCTTCTGTATTTCAGGAACATGTTAAAACAGTGAGATTTAATCTCTGGTATAGTCCGATTTACAATCGTTATGTTGTCCGTTAAACTATATATGGAATGGTATAAATTATCATATCAGGATAGTATTGGGTCATTGATTATGATCTCTTAGAATTTAATTTGGAATTTGTATAGGTATGAGACTGTACAAATAATTATAATAAATACTAGAAGTTTTCTGAAAAGAAAAAACTATACAGCAGAATAACATCGGATAATTAGAAATTTTTTATTAAGTCTTCCGCTACTTTAATTTAGTTAGATGTGAATAGTATGACCATATGTAGTTAACAATCCGATTATTAAATTGAGGCGTTACAGTCCACATTCCTTAAGAATATCCAAAGCAAATTTTCTTTGATTGAGAAACAGTCTTGTGGAGCTACGAGCGAGTTCGATGCCGAGAAAGTATTTAAGTTTCCCAAGATCCTTTATTTTAAACCAAGTATGTAAATGAGGTTTGACTTTAGCACAAAGGGAAGAGTTGTTTCCTACCAAGAGAATATCATCGACATATACCAAAACTTCAACAAAATCATGACCTTTACTGTAATTGAATAGTGTATAATCAGCTTTAGATTGTTGAAAACCAAAGGAGATGAGGGAATGACATAATTTAGCAGACCAATTGCGTGGAGATTGCTTTAAACCATAAAGAGACTTTTGAAGCTTACAAACATCACCTGGTGAACCATTGGAGAATCCAGGTGGGAGGCGCATATAAACTTCTTCATCCAAATCCCCATGGAGAAAAGCATTTTGAACATCAAGTTAGTGTAATTTCTAGCCTTAGCAACGACCACTGATAAGAATGTACACATGCTAATTATTTTGGCAACAGGCGCAAATGTCTTAGTAAAGTCCTACCCTTCGTTCTAATTGTTGCCAGCAATAACTAGGCGAGCTTTATAACATTCAATTGACCCATCTGATTTGTATTTGATTCGAAAAACCCACTTACAAGGAATAACCTTCTTTCCTTTGGGAAGTTTAGTGACTGTCCCTGTATTATTAGACTCCAAAGCATCAATTTCCAGCTGCATTGCATTGCGCTATTGTGGATCTTTTATAGCTTCCTTAAAAGTATTGGGTTCATGAGCTACACTTATTGTTGCAAGGAAATGTTGATGATGCGATGAAAAGTTTTGGTTAGAAACAAAATGCTTAATCGGATATGGCTTACATGAGGCGACAGAAGGAGAGGTGATTCGTGAAGAAGGTGTAGTAGCAAAATTGCACTGGTAATCTTTGAGATAACTTGGTGGCCAGTAAGGTGTAGACAGAACTGCACTCCCCTGACATCGGACAGTGGTGCAGGTGAAGTATGAACAAAAGCATTAGAGCTCCCCCTATAGCACATTGAGGTTCAGCCAAAGTAAGAATACAAGGGTCTTCCATAGGATACTCAACCATAGGCATATCATATATTGGTAAAGAAGATGGCAACAAGGGCAAGGACGAGTTTGATGAGGCGAACAGAAATATGTCCTCGTAAAAAGTAACATCACAAGAAACAATAACTTCATTGGTTTCGAGGTCCAGGAGTCGCCAACCTTTTTTATTGGAAGAATAACCAAGAAAAATACACTGACGAGAGCGCTATGCAAACTTGTATGATGGCTTTGAAAAAATCGTTAACACAAACAACCCAAAATTCGTAAATGATCATATGTAGGAGCCACGCCGTGAAGGACCTCAAAAGGTGTTTTACCTCCAAGAAGCTTCGTCGGAGTTCTATTAATAAGATGAGCAGCACTAAGGTTACAATCACCCCAAAATTGAATAGATAAATGGCCATCAAGACACAGTACCCGCGCCACATTGAGAATGTAATGATGTTTTTGCTTATTGAGGTGTGTAGGAACAAGATTGTTTATGAAGCACATCACGATCAGCTAATAAGAGGCGCATATGAGAAGGTAAAAATTCACCCCCATTGTCAGTTTGAATGCATTTAACATATAGTTGAAATTTATTTTGCACCATAGTTAGAAAATTTCGAACATAAGAACAAATTTCATGTTTATCTCGCAAAAGAAAGACCCAAACATTGCAACTGTAATCATCCAAAATAGTCAAAAAATAATGTGCACCAATAAATGAAACAGTGCGAGATGGTCCCTAAAGATCACAATGTATTAAATCAAAAGCGTTCAAACAACATGTCTTATTAATTGGAAAATGACTGCGAGATTGTTTGGCCCTAGAGCAAATATCACAATGGTTAGTATTATTTGACATAGAAACAAAAGGAAGCAAAGATAAATAATGTCTGGAGGGATGGCCATGCCTTCTATGCCACAACTGAGAGGGAGGCGAGGCCTGCATCGCATGTGCCGAGACTAGAGAAGACCTAAGCACATACACCTCTTCACATTCATCACCCCACCCAATTGTCATCCTTAAGGGCCTGTTTGAAGAACTTGATAAAGAAGATAGGATAGGATAACTATCATATCCTACTTTTATCTCTTGTTTGGTGGGTCAATAGGATATGATTAGCTTATCCTATTGTCTCATTTTATCCTATCCAATACATAATTTCTTATCCTATGGGGGGAGTTGGGTTAGGATAGGATACCAATATTGGATACCCAATATATCCCCACGTTACCCAATATATTTGTATTTATTGCATTGCTTTTTGTTTTTTGTTTTTCCTTTATCCTTCTACATAATCTTATCAGATTGCTAATCAGGTGCTCATCAAACACATGACATGATATTGACTTATCAGCCCCATATCATATCCTACCCTTATTAGCCTCATATCATATCCTACCTTTATCCTATCATGTCCACCAAACGAGCCCTAGGTGTCAGTCCTTCATAATACAATGGCGATCGGCAAAGAGAACGTAACAAATGTTGGACTTTATCGATTGGAAGACAGATATAAGGTTTCATGTAAGAGATGGAACGTAAAGCACAACGAACAAAATTAAAGAAGAATTCAAAAGAACCATTCCATTCTTAACAGCATGAGTGCGAACACCTTTGGCAAGCCAACAATGCAAGGGGATATATCATGAACATTAGTAAAAAAAGCAAGGTTTTCAGTCATGTCTTGAGATGAGTCACTATCAATAAGCCAAGAAATAGGAGTAGATGCCTTACCAGACAACTTGTCAGGTGGTGGTTTAGAGCAATCAACCAGGGTCTGCAAGTGTTGAAGCACCTCAGGAGTGAAATCAGCTAAGAAGGCAGTACCATTGGAGTCACCTTCGACCAGGGTTGTGAAGGCATACGTTGCATGGGAAGAGCTAGGAGCAGACGACCTCCATGGTGTCAACCTCGACCTCTTCCACGACTGCCAGGACGATTAGGATTGCCATTTAACCGATAACATTTGGAATTATCTTATAATTTTTCTATTTTTTTATATTTTCTTTTTATCTCAAATTAAAGGGTTCTCATTTTAATTTTTCCTAGTTTAAATTTGGTTCAGGACAATTTATGGTTACAAATTGTACACTATTTTATTTAAGATACAATAATATGGCTGCATTCCTAAATAGAGGTATTTTATACCTTGTTTAGTTAAACTGTAAGGTAAAATTGTTTGTACATTAATTAAGATTATGATTTGAATTGGAATAGGAAAAAAAAAAACTAGACTTGATGTTATAATTGGTGATTTAATAAAAAAAAATTATAACTATAATTGATTGTATCGATATAACTCTCTTTTTATTAGATCCAATTATATTTGAGTTTGGACTATCCCGCGTCCATAAATTTCAAAGGTGGGAGAAAGGTATTAATGGAGAAAATTTAAAGTGCTCCCATCAAGAGAGTGACATCTGGATCAAAAAAAGAAAATTTCTCTTTTCTCTCTCCTCTCTTTTGAAGTTTTTTTTTTTTTTTCCCTTAGTCCCACCAAATTTTTTCGGAGCACACAAATAACACTCCTATTAAATATTAATGGCAGTTGTTGATGACAACATAAATTTGATGGAGATCCTAATCACTGACAGCATTTGCAGTCACGACTCCATTATTATTGTTACAAGAGTTATGTTTTCCTTTACCATTAACTCTTTAGAATAAAAATATAGAACCAAACATATATTTGTTTTCATAATTATGTAAGAGTCAATATTACCTCTTAATTATTTGCAAGTAGTTGGAATCTGCCATATATGAATTCAAATAAAATATTAACAAACAAGAGAGAAAACAAATAAATAAAAAAATAAGAGAAAAATAACTAAAACATAAAAATAATAAAAAGGCTAAAAAATATCGTTTAATCAGAACATCAAAAATGTTTAAAAGAACTAACATTTCTTTGTTGTTAAAAATATTTGTATATCACAATTATTAAAAAAAAAAATTGTAGATCACCTTTTTCGTATGTCTCATGATATGTATGACTTTTCATTTTTTTCATGATATAACCACCACAATAATTATGTGTTGAAATGCAATTATTCCCGAATTCATATTTAAAGTCCATGACTTTTATGAAAATTTGTATTTTTAATGGATTCAAAACTGTGATATTACAATGCTTTTCAGAGAGCTCATACTTTAATTTTTTCTGTCTCTATATTTATTTATTTCTCTCGTTATGGTTTAAAATATTTCTCTCGTATCAATAAATATAATTTCGCAACATTCTCAAACTATTTTTAAATTATAATATTTTTTTTCTCTGTTTACACCCTCTTCTCTCCCAAAATATATATAATCTAATTGTTAGATTGACGGGTCTCATGAATTAAAATAACTCTAAAATTTTTCATTGAATTTTAAAACTAATTGATATTTCATCATTACATCACATTATTTTTTATTTATTTTTTAATTTTATAGTGTTTTCTATAAAAGGCTGGTGTTTTATTGGTGCATGAGAAAGAAAATGAAGCTATTACCTTTTCTGATATTCAAGGTTTTATTATTTCAACAACAGTTCATTACATAACATAATATAATTGGAGTCCTTGAATACTAGAATACAGTATATATAGTAGTCTGCCTATTCCACCAATGTATCTTTTTTTCCCTTTCCATACTTGGCGGTTGTATTGCGATGCACTGAATCTAATAATTGGCGGGGAGTTCTTGTGTGATCAATTGCTCTCACGCAAACAAAACCTATAAAAATACAAATAAGCATTATATGTATTTTCAGCAAAGAACACTATGCTTAAGTAGAAATTTGTATTCCATCAATTGATATAATGTTTTTTTACCTTTCCAGAAACAATCGTGAATTTGCTTCAGTGACAAACCTGCATTGATATTTAACATATGAAATAAAATAAATATTTTGTACATTATATTATTAAGTCAATACATGATGTTCATTTACCTTTCATTATCGATGATGTCGCAGCTCCAAAATATACTATCCTTTTCTCTAGATTCCACAACCATTTTCTAGGAACATTGATTGGCTGAATCATTGAATCGTAATCAGCAAACACCTATAGAAAATAGCACATATTACATAATTAGATAACAGAAAGCAAAGACATTATGTAAATTATGTGCCAAACATGCAATAGTTTTAAGTATTCACCTCGTTAACTTGAAAGTATGTTCCGTTTAGTGGAAAACGCCCTTCCATTGCTGTTCGACATGGTATCTGTCTCACATATTCTTAAATTTAGTTCTTTTATTTGTAAAGATATTGTTTAAACTTCAAACAATGGGAGTTTCATAGTTTCACCCACCAAAAGACTTCCAGCCACTGTTTGACTGTTATCTTGCTCTTGGTAGCTGTTGTTGGTTGATTCACATGATCTTCCTAATTCTCCTTGTTAATACACAAAAAAAAGAGAGGTATTTATACTTGTAAAAACTATAAAATAAAATAGAAGTGTTTCCACATGTAATAAAATATCTGCTTTTTTTATATGATATTATATACCTGTTTGAGTGTTGACTTCCTCTTGCGAGTTGTTATTGGTTGATTCATTTGATCTTAATTCTCCTTATTAATACACAAAAAGGAGGTGTTAGTACTTGTAAATACTATTAAAAAAAAATGTTTATACATCGTAATAAAATGTCTATTTTCCTTTTATGATACTATATACCTGCTGTCCATATAAGCAGGAGATAGGGGGAAGGATCATCAGGTTCTCGTGGAGTACGCTGTCAATAAAGAAAAAACCTCAATACATATAACATATATATGAGATTTATTACTCTTATGTTGCATAAAATATAATCTATCTCCTACACACAAACTCAAAATGGGTCCCACTTTACTTTTTCTCTCTCTTCCCCTAAAAATGGACCCCACTTGCACCAATGAGTGTGTAGGAGATAATACATATCTTCTACAACATAAGAAAACTATTACCCCATATATATATGGGTCATATTCAAGGAGATAAAATTATCTGTTACACATATATAAAAGTGTTTGGAGTAATATAAAGAGAAGGAAAAAAAAAACTCATATATTTTTATTTATGTAAGAGATAAAATTTATCTCCAACAACATAATATCTTGATTAATTCGTAATATTTGAGGGGCCAAAAAAAACTAAGCCTACTCACCTCAGCTAGGAGTGGATGCTTATCCGGAAGCACATAACTGCATTTAAAAAAAGAAATGAAAAGCAAAAAAGCTTAACACATAAAGTAATGAATTATCTAATGTCATGATTGTAGAAAAGCAAGGGAATATTTTTCAAAAAGATGGCGTGTACAAAAAGATATGGTCAGAGTCAGTCAACTACTAATAGAAAAATTCATATTCTCTTTTAATAAAAAATAAAATAAAAAAGGTTTTGAAGTTGAAAAACATGACATTGAAATAATTATCGGGAAGGAACAGTAATAAGACGGTCTTTATAATATTGTCATATTTAGAAGAGATAATAATATGGAAGTGTGGAAACAAAGATTTAGAAAAATATTAATTTAACAGAGATAACGCAGCTACAAAGAAAAATTAAGAATATAAAGTTTTGGAGGGAAATATAGCAGAAGAGTAGAGGGAATAAGTAAGAAACTTACACTAGGCGCTCAGTCTTCAAGCGACTAACATTTTTCATTTTTGGTACAGGAATGTTTGCAGCATCTGCATGGAATGCAACTAAAGCTGTTGATGTGTTCATGTCATTCTCAGACTCCTCAGAATATGTTTTTGACAAGGATTCGAGTTTATTGAGCTTGAATGTTAGAATGTCCCCAATGTCCTCAATGTCCTCACAAACAACTTCCTTGTAAAACTCTTGATCATTGTTTACATCAAATTCAACAGATTCCATGCTTTCAGGTTCTGGTGATGCTGGCATCTCAATGATAGGCTCACATTCTTTACCCTCTTCTGTGATTAAGGATTTGTTCACCTCAGAATTGAATGTCGGTAGTGTAGAGTTGCTTGGCAAAGTAGAGTATTTGAAAGAATTATCAGGATGCATTGGTGTCACTACTATACTCTCATCGCTTGGTCTTTGATCCGGTGTTGGTTCAGGTAAAGCAAGCTTTGTACTGCATATATGTATCACATTTTTATGTTGTATAGTCTAATTATGCCAAATTTAAAATAAAGGAATCTCCATATATATATATAAACACTTTCAATTAAAAAGGACCCTTAACTCTTTTGTAGACAAAATAACTAATTTGCTAACCAACTAGCATAACTATGTTTATTTTAGTAATTAAATGAATAAACCTTTCTCATATCACAATTTTCAAAATTCAGAGTCTTAAAATTAATAGATTATAGTAGACTAAAACAACATTAATAAAACATAAATATTAAATATGATGAACTATATGCGCAGATATTTAACAATAAAATTTGCTTTAAGAGTATAAGGGAATGCTTCCTCAAGGTAACTCCCATGAATTTTACTTAATATTTTTTGTTTTAGGTTTAGAATAGTGTTCATTTCATTCACCAAAACAAAGTAATCTACATTTCTACTTTAAATATTTTTTTCCCTGCAAAATGATGTATATGGATGGGCTGAGCTGTCAAAGTTAGGGGTATATATAAATGGGTCAAGTTAAGTCAGGCTTTGACTTTGATAGCTTAAGCATATATAAAATATCTAGAGCTTATATTGACTTATAATTAGCTTATTAAAGACTTGATTTATAGTTCTGCCCTGTCATATTATAAAGTATTAAAAAACCTAACACGATCAGTAAGGCCTACCAAGTTACAAACTAAAGTTTATAGGCCCAAACCAAACTGAATATAAAAGATAAAATTTCTTATCCACAAAGATCATGTGAAATAATATTTTCATTAATAACACATGAAATAATATTTTCATAAATATCACATGAAAATGTTCATAAAAATCATATACAAATTTCATATATGTATATATACATATAATTTGCACTTTCTTTACTAATTTATTTAAATATTAAATAAATTAAAAGGCTAACCTGCAAGCTTTTTAAGTGAGCCTGTGTCCTATTTTTAAATGTACTATTCTAAAAATCTAAACCTACTCTATTTAGAAAATAGAACAGGTCATGTGAGGCCTAAGGTAGGTCAAGTTGTACGCCCTGATACGCCGTCTGCCTCCTTTACACCTTTTAGTCAAAACTATATATTAGCAATCACGTAATCTTTATCATTAATACGATTCCTACTGGCATCCAGCCTTTAAGTATTCTCCAAATACAATAAATTAATGCTACAAATACCTTGCAAAAGCACTTGCAAAATGTTTGCACTCATTTCTCATTGGACAAGCATTGCAATTTGGGTTTTTCTTTGTGCAAAACACCTGCAAAATGTTTGAAGATGACTTAAATTTTCTTGTTGAAAAGGTAAATAAATGTTATTCCAAATAACGTTGATATTTACCTTTCCAAAAGTTATCAGCTGATAATGCAGTTCATACCTGTACAAGAAAATATAACCAAAATGTAAGATATGTTAATACAAAGTTCAAATAGATAAAAGATACTGGATAATAACAATGTAAGCTGATCAAGAGTGCATAGTCGTGGCCAAAGATATTGTTGAATTTTGTTGGAATCTGGAAACCTGTATTATTAAAAATAAAAAAATTAAATAGTGTAATTAGTGAATAGTGATGTAATTGTGGACAATTCCATAATAAAAATTGTTCAAAGACTTACTCCTCTAAATTATGTATTTGAATTGGTTCAGGTAATGGTTGGAGGGGAACCCACCCCAAACGTACAACAATTCTTCCAACATTTACATCCACCTTACAAAAGTGATGGAAGATTTAATATTAACAATAGTTGTCTAACAAACACAGCTTCATTCAATAAAAGAAAAATTTGTGTTTTCTTATGTTCTTACTGGAAAAGCAATATGCTGAAGTGTTAAAAGCCGTATGCATTCAACACTTTTCAATCCCAGTCCATGTATATTCAATAGATATTCCCTATAACATGAACGGTTAGCTTGTTCAAAACAAATGATTTTGATGAATAATAAAGGCATAATTATTTATACAAAAAAAGATCTTGAAAAGTAAAATAGATGTGTAGACCTACTTTGCTTCCTTTGGTGGAGCATATCTTAGCCATTCTAAATCCTCGCTTCCATTTGAATCCTTTAACTCATTGAGTAAACGCTGCAAATATACAATGTAACATAATTACTTCAATAATAACATGTTGAAAGTTACTATTATTGAAAAACTAATTTTTTTTTGTACCTGTATTCTTCCAGCAATAATGTTGTGTTGGCCACGAGATGCAATAGCTTTAGCAAATTTACTAGCTGGTGCACATCTTACTGCTTCCCAATCAACAGAATTCACATGATCACTATGTCGTGTGCTTCTAGTGTGGATTTTTCTTAGTGTATCCCAATGTCTTTGCTTTTCCAATAACTTCTCTTTTTCCTCTTGACTCTTATTTTTCTTTGCAACAGTTGACTTTTTCTTATTAGAATCATTTTCAATTCCCTTATCATCAACTTTGGAAGATTGATCATTGGCATTTTGAGCTTCCATTTCTTCAACTTTGCTATTTTCCTTTTCTTTATCAAATTTAGGGTCAGAAAAGGCCACATTGTTTGTAATCGATTCTTCTGTATCAGGAGTATCCGGATCCTCACTTATTTCTTCAGAGCTAGTTCTTTTGTTAGGGAACTTTGCAGCAAGTGACATGAAGGCAGAGCTAAATGAATAAATTAACAAGGATAAGCATTAATATTTAATAATAAATAATTAGATAAATAATTTATCTATTTAACTTTACCTTGACAAATGGTCAGACACATTTTGAGTTAGAAAAGCTCCAACCACAGAATCCATAACTGAACCTTTCCATGGTAAGAAACGCCTATCACCTGTAAAGTTTAATAATCTAACAGTAAACACAATTTGCACGAAAAAGAAAAAAAAAAACTTGATATATAGCAAATCTGTTCTTTACATGCTATAACTACACTTTATGCTTTTTAAATAATGATAAGAAATATTATAATTTTGAACTTCATAGACCAATAAGAAACCACACAACTCCCCGTTAAATTCTGACTAACAATAATGGGACGAGGACAATTCTTATATATAATTTTACTCTTACATATTTGCAAAGAGACTGTATCCTAAATTCGAACTGATGACCTTTCTTTCTTTCTTTTTGGGGGGATATTCCAATCCGATTCGAGGCGGGTCTTAGGATTAAGACTTTAAACTCCTTCCAAAGACGCTATTAAGGAAGATTGAACATATGCTCTCATCCTTACCTATTCAATTCTCTGACAGCAACTAAACTACCATTATTTGGCTGTATCCTAAATTCAAATGATCTTTCGGTAAACAAAGGAACAATTTTATCAATATTGGAGGCTGGCCCTCTTTCTAGACCAATAAGAAACATGAAATCAAAAATAATTTTGAGAATCTTTAAAAATTATTATGATGAAACATGAAAACATCTTGGAAAAACGTACCTTGGATAAGATGCATACAAGATATGAATGACTCAACCGTGTCACGATACCTTTTTCTTATCTCATCCCAATATCTTCGCTTCATCTCATCATTCTCCTCATGTCCTTTTTCATTCTTAAGTAAGTCCCACACTCTTAACGTCTCTTCATCAAGTGGAACATCAATAGTCATGGAAGGTCTTTTATAAACAACTAATTCTCCCGATTCTTTGTAGACAACCAGCTTCTTTGTATTTTTTCGAGCTCTCTTTTTCTTCATAGATCGAATTTTGTTGATTATTAATCTCATTTTTCTCTTGATGATAGTGTTGCCATCTGAATTGAAAGCTATCCAACATCTTTTCTTCCTGATGAAACCTTTTGATCTCTGCCCTTTCACAAAAGGGATCAAGAACTTTTCTAAACGAGGCTTTTTTCTAACAATTCTTTTCTTCTTACACATTTTTGAAAAATTTGGACCAATTAATCTGCTCTGTACTAGACAGAGACATGACAAAGATGTCATTCCATGATAACTTTGCAGAGAATTATACTCAATGCCTGATTCATTCTTAAAGATTGAACTCTCAGTTCCACCTTGTTCAACTTTCAAGGCATTGAAATTTTTCAAAAATGGTAGAGAAACTTCCTCTTCAGCGAACAACGTTCGTTGGCATGAAGGACCTTTTCTTACATAACTCCTTTTCGGTTTTGGAGTTGAAGGTTTTGGAGTGTTACTGCTTTTGGAGGGAGATTTATACATTCTCTTGGTTGTTTGAGATATCACTTTAGGACGATATATCTTCTTCTTAGTTGCATCTCCCTGATTGTTCTTTCTTTTCTTTGAAGGAGATGATGTATCAAGTTTAACGTCATCACCTGCATAGATGAAAAAGAATAGAGTATTAAATTAAATATTTATATTTACAAACTCTTACAAACTTATATCTGCCGGTAAGATACTCTTAACTAAAATTTTACAGGTGAGACATACCGCTTACGGGTTTGCCAAAATAAAAAGTTTGTGAATATAATCTTCGTCTTGTAATTTAACAAAAAACTAAAATCATTTAATATTATTACTATATCAATCACATAAAAGTGAGGGTTGTCGTGTTAAGCTTTAATTAGTTCTCAATAATTTATTCAGAGTTATAGAAGATAACTACTAACATATATATTGACATCACAGCAAAAAAATTAGATCAGTCATTCAATGAATAAGAAAGAGTTTTAAGGTAAAGATCCAAAAGGAAAATTAATAATGAAAAAAAAAAAACGTTAACAATCATTCATAAAAAAATAAAAGGAATAAAAACATATAAAAGTTAATTGATACTCATAAAATATTATAATTCTACACGTATACAATTCAATTGACACTATCGTGATTCCCAAAGAAGATACTGGGTTGACCACTTTTATTCATTCTGTACATAAGAAAAATATTCATGTAATTTGTAAATAAATAAAGGGATGTATACTAATATTAAAAAATATAAAGAAATTAAGAATCGAATCAGATTAATTTGATTTTTTTGTTTAATTGGTAGATAAAGTTCTCAAAAGCACCACAAAATGATAGTAACTCAGTTGGTGTATGGTAGCTAAACAGATGGAATGAAAACATGAATTCAATCCTTTCAATTATCATTTTTGGGAGGAGTTTAAAGTTTTGTCTTCGGTAAAAGACACATATGATTTATCCCCAAAAAAAAGTTTGGAAAAGCACCTCGTTCCCATAGATAAGTATTCAATTACATCGCTGAAATAGATTAGTAGTTCCATCTTCCAATAATTCAGCAAGAGTTTAATTTGACGAGCATTATATGAATTAAATTCGAAAACTTGATATTTACCTTCCAATTCATCGTGAATCAATCCATCAGGTAAATAGCAGCCAACATCTATTATGGGTTCTCTCGTAAGATCAGGTTCTGTAGGAGTTTCAGGTGCCCGTAAACCCTGTTTTTCCATCTCATTCCTCATTGTATTCTTCATGCTGCCATTCTTTGCTTCGATCCCAATGATCTTCTGTGATGACATGATAAAGAAATTATATGGAGTTTTCAAACTCAAATTTTCTATGTCTAATCTAAAGGAGCCTATGAGTACCTATATCTTTCAAGAAAGAAATGAGAAGCTCATTGTGATTGAAATTTGAACTAATATGATTTATCGCTATCAATATAAGGTAGTTATAAACCAATATTTTCCACGATTTTATAATTATTAAGTATTCAATTAAATATTAAATAGCCGTTATGAATATGAATTTGAATTCAAAATTAAAATTGAAATGGTCATAATCTTATCATATAAAAAAAAAAAAAAAAACTATTCATTTGAATTTAAATTTAAATTTTAAATGATGAGGACTTTTTCAAATTAAAGAAAAGTTATATTTTAAATTTATTAATAAATGAAACTAACTATTTAAGAGAGTTGAAAATTTTAGACTTTTTAATTATCTTCGTATAATATTATTAAGTATTAATAATATTTAGTATTTTTAGTAATTATATAACTAAATATTTTTAAAATATTATATTAATAATATAATTAATTAATATTTTTGGGTCTTATTACCTCTTTGTTTCGTATTTTGAAATCACCCTGTTACTTTTTCTTCACAAAAATTACTTTTATAATAGCTTTTTAAAAATAAATAATTAAACTATATTTTTTTGGATAAATCACAAGTATCCTCTCTACGGAGGCAATTCTATTTCAAGACGTAAACATTCACATCATGATAGGGCTAGCTCTCTAAATGAAATTTTTCGAATTCACAAGTATATAAATCCGAAACATAGCTTAAACGGAATCAAGCATGTACCAATTAAACTAATACACTTGTTATCAAAAAAAAAAAAAAAAACTAATACACTTGGTAATTAATTTTTTTATTATGCGAGAAGTTATACTTTTAATTTATTTTTGCTTATAACCATTTTCTTTAATTTTGGATCAAAATCAAATCAGTGGTTATAAAATGATATCAAGTAAGAGTTGTTGATTTGGTTTTAACCCAAATATTAAGCAAATATTGTAAGAGATAATAAGTAAAAATAAATTGCAAATATAACCCATTTTTTCAGTAACTTTTCTCTTTTATATACTCTGAAATATTTTATTAGTGGACTTTTAAATTTCTTTATCATTTTTCTTCTAAAAGAGTTTGATTACTCATTGACTTTTTTTTATAATTAATTACTCATTGACTTTGTTAAAGAATTTGTCACGTCATTCATAAATTACTGTGTCTGACTATTTTTAATCTTTAAAGGATCAAATTTTTATTAAAATAAAGTTTAAAATCTCAAGCATGAAAATTTTAAATCTTTACTCTTCATAATTTTAATTTATCAGCTATCCAATTAAATATTAATTAATGATTATGAATTTAAATTTTGATGATAATGATTTCCCAATAAATAGTTATGATTAGTGCTATTAAAATCGGACCGATCCGACCGAGTCGATTCGGGAACAGGTAAACCAGTCATATAATCGGTCTGGTTGAAGCAACGGACCGGCCATGCATCAAAACCGGTGCGACCCGGCCGGTTTTCATAAAAACCAGTAACCCGGTCAGTTAATCGATGACCCGGCCAGTCCAAAAAAAAATTCCAATTTGTTTTTTGAAAAAAAATTATAATTGACATATTTGAATATTTTTTTGGTTATTGAGTTACATAAGTTATGTACCTACAACCCCACGGACACTGACACGGGACCAGTGTTATCAAACCCGGACCGACCCGGACGGGTCAACCCGAGAACCGGTAAACCGGTCATATAACCGGTCCGGTTGAAGCAACGGACCGGTTATGCATCAGAACCGGTGCGACCCGGTGTGACCCGGCCGATTTTCATGAAAACCGGTAACCCGGTCGGTTAACCAGTGATCCGGTCCGGTCCAAAAAAAATCTAAATTTTTTTTTCAAAAAATAAATCATAATGGATATATTTGAATTTTTTTTGCTTATTGACTTACATAAGTTATGTACCTACAACACTAGTTTTATCTCAATTATGCACTATGCAGAAAATTTTGATTTGATTTATAGTTAGAGATGTCGTTTTTTAACCTAAAGTCCTGTATCACGATTATTATATATTTTTTTTATCTTATTTTTGTTTTATCTTTTATCATTTTTTTTAGATATTTGAGTATGTTATATTTTTTAATAAAAATTATAACATTATATATAATTACCGGGTCATGCGGTTGAACCAGTGACCCACTGGTTGAACCAGCGACCCAGTGACCCAGTACCTCGACCGGGTCAATGACCGGGCCAGTTTTAATAACATTGGTTATGATGAATTTTTGTTAAAAAATTATGAATTTGAATTTTTAATGATAATAAATTTTCATAAAAAGAAATTTTTTAATTGAGATTGACTTGAATTAAAAAATAGAACTTTCTAATTATCTTTATTCATTAAAATTCAATTAAATAATAGATAATATTTAGTATTTCACAGACTACATAATTAAATAATTTTAGTTTAGTATTTCAGAAATACCCAATTTGATTTGATATTAGTATATGAACCAAATTTCAAAACTTGATTTTTACTTTACAATTCATCATAAATCAATTTATCAAGTATTGCAATTGTAACACTAACTTTTGTAGAAGTCCAAGAGCACACAAATTATGTTTTCCCATTAGGGGTGTAAATAGGTTAAGTTAGGTTAGACTTTTGCTTAAATAGCCTAGGCCTGTGTAAAATATTTAAGCCTAACCTCGCCTGTTAGCCTTACATATCCCCAAATTATAAGTCTGACATGACTTATATTTTAAAAACAAAAGTCTTGTTATAAGCCTGTTTAAACTTATTAAACATTCAATAATTAAAATAATATTAATTTATTATTCAAAAATATTAAAATAACAATAATATATTATTCAAAATTATTAAAATAATAATTTTATTTATTTTATTTGAATAAATAATATGATATAGGATGTCTTGAAGGCTTATAGGCCCGGCATGTAAAAGAAAGCTTATGGCCTATTTTCTAATGAATAAATAATTATTTGAATAAATTTCTAATGATGATAACTTTTTCATAAAAGAAAAATTTTATTTTTTATTTATTTATGAAGATTTAATGTTTAATATGATTTATCCCTATCAAGGAAGGGTAGATATAAATCTTTATTTTTAAGGATTTTATAATTATTAAGTGTCCAATTAAATATTAGATAATCACTTTAAATTTAGATTTAAAATTTGGATGATAATGATTTGTATAAAGGAAAATTCTATTCATTTGAATTTTAATATAAATTTCAAATGATGATGACTTTTTCATAAAAAGAAAATTTTATTTTAAATTTATTTATGAAAGATTTAATGTTTAATATGATTTATCTCTATCAAGGAAAGGTAGTTATAAATCTTTATTTTTAAAGATTTTATAATTTTTAAGTGTCCAATTAAATATTAGATACCCGCTGTGAATTTAGATTTAAAATTTGGATGATAATGATTATTTCACATAAAGAAAAAAATCTATTCATCTGAAGTTAAATTTAAATTTTGAAAGATGATGACTTTTTCATAAAAGAAAAATTTTATTTTTAGTTTATTTATGAGGAGTGTAATGTTTAATATGATTTATCTCTATCAAGGAAGGGTAGTTATAAATCTTTATTTTTAAGGATTTAATAATTATTGAGTGTCCAATTAAATATTAAATAATTGCTGTGAATTTTTATTTAAAATTTGGATGATAATGATTCTTTCTTGTAAAGAATAAAATCTATTCATTTGAATTTAAATTTAAATTTTGAATGATGACAACTTTTTCATAAAAGGAAAATTTTATTTTTAATTTATCTATGAAGGGTTTAATGTTTAATATGATTTATCCCTATCAAGGAAGGGTAGTTATAAATCTTTACTTTTAAGGATTTTATAACTATTAAGTGTCCAATTAAATATTAGATAATCGCTGTAAATTTAAATTTAAAATTTGGATGATAATGATTCTTTTGTTTAAAGAAAAAAATCTATTCATTTGAATTTAAATTTAAATTTTGAATGATTATGACTTTTTCATAAAAGGAACATTTTATTTTTAATTTATTTATGAATGGTTTAATATTTAATATGATTTATCCCTATCAAGGAAGGATAGTAACAAATCTTTACTTTTAAGGATTTCATAATTATTAAGTGTCCAATTAAATATTAGATAACTGCTGTGAATTTAGATTTAAAATTTGGAAGATAATGATTCTTTCGTATAAAGAAAAAAATCTATTCATTTGAATTTAAATTTAAATTTTGAATGATGATGACTTTTTCATTAAAGAAAAATTTTATTTTTAATTTATTTTTGAAGTGTTTAATGTTTCTAATATATCCTTTTCCATTATAATTTATTTTATTTTTAATTCTTTATCATTAATCTCAAAATATATTTTTAAAATATCTTTCCTTTCTATTTTTAAATTTTTGTTCTCTCATATGTAGTGTGAGATGGCATTTAATTTTTTTTGGAAGTCTACATGTAGAAGCAATGCATGTATGATAAAATAGCTCATGCATGGAAGATTATTTGTGTCATAAAATTTATATTTGACTTTAAAAGATTATGAATATGAATAATCTTGTAAGTTCATTTTAAAAAAAAAATTAATTATCTTATTTCATAAGCGATGCATCACTTGTTTATTATCATTAAAATTAGATGAGGTGTTGGATCCAACAAATTTTTCTTTTTTGATGATGACAAATAATTGATGCTATAAATAGATACACCTCTTTTAGGCAAAATAATAATAATTCTAAGGAAAACAAATTAATCGTGGCATTCAAAACTCTTTCCCTTTTTGACATTATCGAAAAAATTTAAAATGAGTCATCCTAAATAAGATAAAAATACACAAAGCATATATGAGAGAATCACAATGCACTTTAACAGTAAACATATCAAGATGGTGGTGAAGTTGTTGCAAAGCATGGAGTAAGAAATAAGTAAAAAATGGACTATGGCAATCAAATGAAAAAGAAAATCATGC